GCGTGAAGTAACCATTGAGGACGCAAGATCGACGGACTGATCTGCGTCAGCGTTACGAACTCTGGCCAAATTCACACACCTCTTTTGAGCAGAAACCGCCCCGATCGTTATACGGCATGAGACAGATCGAAGCGACTGACTCGCTGTGATTTCACTACAACAGTATGTTATAAAAAAAATGATACTTTTTTTATAATTATATTTTAATTAATAATTTCATAAATAATTTTCATTATATTTAATAATGTAATTGATAACAGTAGAAAAAGCAAGGTGACGAGATATACTCTTTGATAAAAGAAATAGTTTGGTATCTTTCTTTTTCTCTTGGACTGGTTTTGTTTCTCTTTAAAATTAAAAGAAGATCTTATTTCAATTTAGTAATAAGCTAGCTTTTTTGTTAATTATTCTAAAAATAGTTGGAAAAAGATATTTTAAAACTATCTACTGGTTGAATAAAGCTATAAATTCTTAAAAAATTGGCTAGAAAAGAAATCATCAATTAATACCAATCCTCTCTAAAGGTTTAAAGTCTTTGAGTATAAAGTTTCAAGAAATACTCTTTTGGAAGTATCATTAAAAATTTTTGGTTAACAATAAAATAGTGAAAATTAAATGGTTTTCCAGTTGCAGGTGGTCAGACTAGATAGTAATCAAGAAGAGTTTTTGTTTTACCAGTACAAACCTTTCCCTTTTCTTTTTCTTTCCACTTTTAAATTTCTTAAAAAAATAAAAATTTTTTATTTCCATAGGATTATAGCAATAATATAGGGGTAACAGTCCTGAATGAGGGCTAGCTATGATGTTTTAAACTGGTGGAAATACCAGAATAAAATTTAGCAATTCTTTCATTTCCCATTATCATATCTAAAGGCCATAGGCTTATGATGGGTGTGCTGCATAAGCAAATAATAGTTTAACATTTATCATAGTATTCTCAATACAAATGTATAATTGTTTTCTTGCAAATTGGATTAATAAACTAATAGGTATGCAATCTGATTTGAAGTTAAAAATAAAATAAAATAAAAGATTTTAAAAAGTACAATAAAAAAACAAATTAATAAATTAAATAATTTTTTAAGAAAGTATTAAAAATCATTAAAACATTTAATTGATAAAATAAGCATAAATTATATACTGTAAATAAAGTTTAAAATAATATTTTATTATATCAATAAAAATCCTTCATCATGATAAAATTGAAGTACATTTAGATAATACTCTTTAAAAATATAACATTAAAAAAATTATATGGAATCTTTCAACTGCAACTCGAAAGTTATATCCTATTACATAATTTTGTATCATTAAAAAATTGTAAATAATATATAATAAATCAAATATTTTTTTCTACAAATTTCAATGCTTTCTTCGCAAACTCCAATTTCGTCTCTTCTCTAGTGAGCAAAGGCGAAGCATTCACTCGTTCAACAAATGTCATATTAATATTACTCGAGGCAATGCCAATCCAACAAACTCCACCTTCCAGATTTTTATCAGGATCTTGCTCAGCTAAACCAGTAGTCGCCACGCAAATGAAATGTTTGGGATCATTATAATCATTGTCTCCTTTGATCATCGAATGCTTTTGTAGTTCTGCCAACCCTTTCTCAGCCAACGAACGAGCAGTCTCATAGGAGACGGCACCGTGAGTATCAATTATTGAGGGGTCAACACCTAACGCAATCTTAGCATTATTGTCGTAAACGACTCGACCACCCCAGAAAACCTGACTCGACCCAGTAATATCAGTTATCAGGTTGGCTACTAGTCCACCAGTACATGACTCGATTGTGGCGATAAGGTAATTAGACTTCTTGAGTTTTTGAACGAGAGATTGTGCGATATATTTTTTTCCCATTTTATATCAGTGATACTTTTCTGTTGTACTATTGTGCCAGAATTTATATTCGATTATAAAAAAAATCTGAATTGTTTATAACGGACAAAAATCATCGATTAAACTAATTAATTGCTATGCGTGTTTGTTTCGTATCTGAGAAATAAACATAAACAATATCGCATAATTAAATACTATATGAATTACCATTATAATGTAATATTCAATTGAATGATCAACATAGAATGTTCTGCAACTTTTATCTAAATTCAATTACGTAATATAATAATCGATACATTATATACTATATATTGAATTCAATATACAGTATATTTGAAACATATATAAAAATTTTATTTTAATTTTAAATCTTAATATTATATTATAAATTACAATAATAATAATTTTTTTTATAATTAAACAATATTTATTATATATATTATTTATAATCTTAAAAAAAAAATACAATTAAAAAAACTCTTATCTTTTATTATTAATTTTTTGAAAATTTTTTTTATAATAATTTTCTTTAAAAAAATATCTTTTATTTTTTACTTTTTATACTTTATAAACTCTAAATTTAACTTTAAAAACTACTATTATGTTTAAAATAAAATCTCTAATTAAAAAGTTAATAAATTTGAAAATTTAATTATTTTTTTAATTATATACAATAAAATTCGATATAATATAATTCTAGGACAATTAATAAAAAAATTTGAAAATTTTACTATAATAAGATTTTTTTAAATTTTATTATTAAATCCATTATATCAAGATTATTTTATTATAGTTGTTTTTGAGTCTATTTTATTATATTAAGATTTTTATATATTTTTGCTATATCAAATATTTATTATATCAAATTTTACTATATATATAAAAAGTTTATAGTAGTTTTTTTTATTAATTTTATATTTATATATATATATATATTATTATTATTAATTTTTTTTTTTCGGGTGAAAAATATTTTATACATATATATTTTTATTGAGTAGTTTATATTTAATTATATATACATTCAGGTCCATTTAAGTTAACCTTACTCTATACCTATAGACTTATCCAGTGTACCAATTGACACCATGGAGGTGGATCCACACCCTGAGTGGGATCTTTAGGGGATAAAAATCCTATCACTAGTTTTAAACTATCTAACCTAATCTAGATCCTGTCTCAATTGTATCCATTGTGGAAAAGGTGCAATATTACCTTTCAGGAGTATGGTTAGAGAACACCCAGATATTCCCATATATATTTTTTTGCCCAGAACCTCAGAGAAGGTAAATCACTTTTTATTACTACCTGCGACTTCCAATTATACTACAAATATAATCTTCTTTTAAGCAAGCACTGAATTGAAATAGCCCTAGGCTAGGATATTCTTGTGTGATGGAGTCTGCTGTCACCAGTTTGGATTAGAGTTTTTAGTGGGCTTATATTGGAGTTAGGCCAGAAGTCTTTCCTCATGTAACCTTCCTTACTTTGACATGTTTTCAGCCTGCGATTGTCGGAAAGACCAGAGGTTCCATCTTCATGCAGCCTAATTAAATTTGAAGATTGATTGTCAGCTGATTGGATACGAAATGAATTGAAAGCCAGTTAACCAATTATAAAGATAATAAATTTTTGTAACCAAGTGGGTTTGAACCCTAAATCTTCTTCTGATGACCTATAAAGCATTACCATCGTGCTATAGACCCATAGGTCTCTAATATTATAAATTTTTTTTTTTTAAAGTGGAACGTGCGCACAGCATGTGATCTTTATTGATACATTTAATATCCAGACAGACACCAAGTGTCTCTACAAACTAATCAGAAATTGGTTGGTACATGAATACCCTTTATGTCTCTACAGTTAATCTGCAGTTTAACACTGCCTAGTACATATATTACTAT